TACTGTATCTACAGCTTGTAAACCATGGAGTAGATCCAAGTTTGTTGGACAAATTTAAGTTGGAGATGCAAGATTTCTTCAACCTTCCAATGGAAGAAAGGAAGAAGTTTTGGCAGAAACCAAATGATATTGAAGGTTTTGGACAAGCTTTTGTGGTTTCAGAAGATCAAAAACTCGATTGGGCAGATTTATTCTTCCTCACAGTGCAACCTGTTCAATTACGCAAGCCTCACTTGCTCCCCAAGATACCTCTTCCCTTCAGGTTCTTGTTTCAAATTGTATTAACATATAACATATCTTATTTCTCTTTAAGCAGTGATTTCAAATCTCGAGGTTAATCGTACTTAAATTCGGGTCTTGTGTTTCATTAGAGATACATTGGAGAAGTATTCTACTGAAGTGCAGAGCATAGCTAAGATCTTAGTATCGAAAATGGCGAGAGCCCTAGAGGTCAAACCAGAGGAAATGGAAAAGTTATTTGATGATGTTGATTCGGTCCAAAGTATGAGGATGAATTACTACCCGCCGTGTCCACAACCCGATCAGGTTATCGGTCTAACTCCGCATTCGGATTCGGTTGGACTCACTATACTATTGCAGGTGAATGAAGTTGAAGGTCTCCAAATAAAGAAAGATGGGAAATGGGTTCCTGTTAAACCTCTCCCAAATGCTTTCATTGTCAATATTGGAGACGTCTTAGAGGTAAAACTATATCAAATGCGTATATGGTCATCGATCATTTGTTAATGGTTCTAATGATGGTTTTCTGGGATAGATCATAACGAATGGGACATACCGAAGCATCGAGCATCGAGGAGTTGTGAATTCAGAGAAAGAGAGACTATCTATTGCGACGTTTCACAATCCGGGGACGTATAAAGAAATTGGTCCCGCGAAAAGCCTCGTCGAAAGGCAAGAGGTTGCAAATTTCAAAAGGCTGACTATGAAAGAGTACCAGGATGGTTTGTTCTCTCGTAAGCTCGACGGAAAAGCTTATATTGATGCTTTGAGAATCTAAAAGAAGTAATGCCTTGTAATCCAAGAAACCATGTCATATTTGTATCTACTCTGTTTCTCCTCTGTTTTTTTCTTTTTATTTCTGCGATAAACATTCTCTATAATCTTATGTTTACTTCTCTCTCTATTTGCTTAAAACCTGTTAAAGACGACAAATCTACAATGCAGAATGCTTTTACGTATTGCTATAATAAGACAATAATCTTATACGTTTTGGTTTCTTAACGTTCGTTGTTACTCAAAGCTTTATCTAATAATAGGGATCACATGATTCACACACACACAGTTACAATCGACCTCAATCAGCACTACTCTCAGAGCACCGTACATAACCGCTTTACTTTTCAGT